GAGAGTTTTTTTTTTTTTTTTTTTTTTTTTTTTTTTGCTGTTTAAAAAGACAATGGATTTTGTAGTTTCAGAACTTGCCCAGGAGCAACAATAAACGAACTTGTCGGTGGTTATGGCCCATGCAATATTGCAGTAGGATAAATAAGGCAAAATGAGGGTGTTGTAAAGGAAAAACAAAATAATTGCTGGAAAAGTGTGTCGTAATTTAGTTAACATTCCAAAATTTCGTGAGACAGTTTTATTTATGTTGGCAATGTGAGGTTTCCAACTTAATTCGGAGTTAATTGTCACCCCGAGAAATTTCAGGCTATCAGTTTTTTTTAATTGGGTGTCACGAGTGTGACGCCTCCTATCGTCAGCGTCAGCGCTCTCAAGTTGTAGAATTTGGTCATATAATGTGAGAGAGTCTGTGTCCCCCATCGTCCCTATTCATAGTGGTTTGGTATTTTCTTATGGCAATTGCTTCTCTGATAATCATTTTTTCCCATGAATCTTCTTCTTTGATGATTTATCCCAATCTGGTGTGTGATCAAACTGAACTATGTGATCTCTAACTGCTGATTTATGGAGTGATTCGAAGTTGCATGAGGAAGTGCGTGCTGATCTTGTGCGTATGCCTTTGGTATTACTAATGACATCTTGTTTGTGTTCTTCCAGTCTTTTCTTGAAAGGTCTTCCGGTTTCGCCTATATAAACGTAGTTACAATGTAGGCAGCCGATCTGGTAAATTATTCCGCATGTGTCTTTTTTTTTGTCTTGTCTTTTGGATGGACTAGGATTTCTCTGAGCTTGTTAACTGGTTTGTAGTACGAACCAATATTTTTTGCATGAAAAAAAATCTTTCCTGATATTCCTTGTATGTAGGGGAGTTCAATGTTGCCCTTATTTCTACCAGTTTTGGTTTGTTTGGCTATCCCCTTTTTTCAGTTTCCTTTGTTCATGTTGCTGTTTTATTTTAGTTATAGTCCAGTACGGGTATCCACAGTTATTAAGTGCTGTTTTGATGTTTTTGTTTTGTTATTTATTTTCATATTTTTTTTTTGCATTTAATAGATTCTTTTAAATAAAGGTAATATGTATATATGAATATAAAAAAAAATCACCAACCTGGATGAAGTCTTGTAAGACCAAATAATTTGTTATGTCTCTGCCTTCTATTATTGTGACGTTGGAGAAAAAACGAGATTGATTCATATCATTCACCGCAATAACAGTTTGCTTGAATATGCGAAGGTGTTGGCCTTCAATCTCACCGGTTATCCTTTCTGACACAGAAAAACAAATTATTGTTATTATTATGCAAAACACAAACAATAAATTTGCATTAAAATTTTTCTTTGCATTTCTAAAATCAAAATTTCTGATGCAGTGGTGGCTGTAGAGTACCGGTATCCCTTTATTGTGCCAGATCCGAGGGCGCTTGGTCAGTCTAACAATTGTGGAAAGGTGGTCATGATACCACAGTTGCTCGCCATACGTTGGCAAACTAAATTGATAATATTAAACTGTAATGCGCCATTTAATAAATTGAACAACACTTTTACACGCATTACACCAGACCCGCGTATGACGCTTCATCCCTTTCAAAAATAATGTAACAGTGTATGACTGATTTCATGAGGTTTACACAGAGTAAAAACATTGTAAGTGGACAGAGTGTGGATTATGCCTACGCTTCGTGTACATTCAGTGAATAATTTTAAAAGCTTTTAAGATACAAGGTATTGTACAGATCACGACCGAACTGTGTCTTAAGGGTTTGCAGTTGACTGTTTTTCTTGGCTGAAGAAAACTGATTTGTTAAAACTGTTGACAACTTTAGGACGCAATGCGCGGCGGTCGGTGTAGCACGAATAATTGAGTTCCATGCAAATTTGGGTATTTTGTGACCTGGATGATCAGAACCTATGGGTCACAAATTTGCAACACTTTCTTCCGGGGTAAACTATTGACTGATACACTGTATGTCGGTGTATTCATTATAAAAATGAAATAAATGAAGTTTACAATCGAGTACTGTATGTACCTTATGTTCAACTTAACTTCACAGTTGATTTATCTAGCATAAACAATCAATAATAAGTATGTAAAAGCTAATGTAAACATCATTTAAAACAGACGAATGTAACATTATTATGCATTTATATGTTGATAATCAAACAAAATAATTTTATTATTTTTATGTTAGAGTAATGCTATATTCGATGGTTATATTATGAAAGATGCTGCTGCAGATCCATGATTTTGTGTTTTATCATCACGTCTTTTTGTTGCAAAATAATTAATGTGTTTTTAAGGTAGGAGAAAAACCCATAACTTGCAGCGTCCTTGTGCTGAATTGCGTATGGGCGTGGTCCGTGACTACCTCGCAGCCGTAAAGAGGCGCTTCTTGGTAGTTACATGGTTACATCATTCCACAACGACAGGGGCTGAAATGAACTATAACATCGGGGTAACCCCTACTCTTCGAAAAGATGCAATGAGTTCTTTAAAGCGCACACGAGTCAGATGTATACACTGGACCTCCATTTTAAGTCCTTACCCGAGAAGACTTGGTTCTACCAACCGAACCATAGGTGAGGAGCGGCTGGTACCAGCGCCGATGGTAATGCTGTAGCTAGCGGTGCCCCTGCCCCACCGCTCGGCCACTCGACTCGCCATTTAAAACAGACGAATGTAACATTATTATTCATTTATATGTTGATAATCAAACCAAATAATTTAATTATTTTTATATTACAGTAATTCTTTAGTCGATTGTTATAATATGGAAGACGAAGAAGAATGTTGACAATATTAATATACTGCTAAACTAGTGGCGTTGATTTTTATCTTGATACTATTGAAGCTTTCATTATTATTGATGCTTTATGTTTCGTTGTATATTAGTCTAGGCCTATACATTTGTAAATGATTGATTGATTGATTTGAAGCAAGACGTATATAAACACCACAAAAATATAACAATAGTAATAACAACTCGACTTACTATGCCTGCTTGAACAACAGAACATAGGGTTTTTTTTCCAAATTGCTTTAATAAGAATTGAAGTTGAAATTGCAACAAAAAGAAAATTCATCAGTCGTTAAAAAATATAGAGAAAAAAAAACACGGAAAACCAATATAATTTCAATGAAGTGGAAAAATGATGGTGGGAAAAAAAAACGAAATAAATTTCACGCCGACGTCATTAGTGAAAATTGAACTATGGCTCCAATGGTAATAGCAAAGTACATCATGACCCATTACCATTGCGCGCTATTATATGGGCCGACCTTGCATAGGAAGAAAGTGCATTTTCAATTCATAGCGATTCATTTGTTTATTTCATTTCATTTTTTATTTTCAGTTTTTGATTCACGACCAACATATTAAGAAAAATTGCTCCCTTAAAATTTCCCACAAATATTAATAATTAATTAATAATATATTCGTGTAAAATTCCTTGCCAAGGGCCTATGGTCAGATTTTCTCATTGTTTTTAGACATGTTTATTTATTTATTTATTTATTCATTTATTTCCACACATCATCAAAGAAAACATATACGGTACATAGTTCATTGAAACAAGTATTGTGTGGGGGGGGGGAGAGTCGGATAAACCAAATAAGGTTTTAAGATCGACCCACCCCTTATAAAACAAAGAAAAAAAATACAAAGACAGTTAAACAATTATGCACGATTCTTTTAATATAAGAAAAAAACACCAAAAAAAACCAAAAAAAAAAAAAAAAAAAACAACAACAGTAGTTGCTACACATTTCAAATTGTTCACTTAACGTTCTTTTTATTTATATAATTATTAAGACGCAGAGTAATTTGATATTAGATGTTTTTTATAGTTTGATTTAAAATTTATAACAGATGGTGCAGTTTTAAGATTTTGATGAAGAGAAATCCACACTTTAGGTCCATTAAAATTAATAAAATTACGGCTAAAATTTGTCTGGCATTTGAACAAAATGTAATCATTAGAGGTACGTGTATGGTAATTGTGTAATTCACCATGTTTCTTAAAGTAATTGTTAAATGATTCTGGGAGGTAGTTATTAGCGTATCTATACATAAATATTGCAGTTTGAAGCCTATTAATGTCAAAAACATTTAAAGTTTTAAATGTAAAAAAAAAGTGGTTTAGTATGTGATAAAGAATTGACTTGGAACAAATTCTAAGTGTTTTTTTCTGTAATTTAAAGAGTTGATCTAATTTTGTTGTTTCGGTGCTAACCCATGGACATAATTGTTGGTGTTTGTTTGTTACTGTACCCCATACTAAATTACAGCACGAATAAGGAATAATAAGGAAGAACCATTGTGTTGTATAAAGAAAATAAAATGTTAGATGGTAAACTATGCTGGAGTTTCCGTATTACGCCTACATTTTTTGATACCTGTTTGGATATTTTTGTTATGTGTTGTTTCCAATTTAGTTGAGAGTCAATTACGACGCCAATAAAGTTTGTATGTTAAGTCCCATAATACAAATGCTTTTTTTTAACTCCTTTTTTATATCTCATTCCCATGGATGTGGGATGGAATCCCTTTTTTTTTTTACTGATTTATTTCCTTTTGGTGATTGTGCTTTTTTCTCTGCTTTGTCTGCTTTTTATGTTAATTAATCCTTGTTTGTTTTTGTTCTAGTACCAGTTGGAGAATATTTGCATAGTGAATCTGTTTGCTTTTTGACAATCTGCCAGAATAGTGCTAGGTTTGTGTTGTTTGTAACAATCTGGGAAATATAGCAATTTCAATGGCTGAAAACAAACATTGTTCTTGCATATCACGGTAGTTTTGAGTTTAATCTAGCTGTAACTGGTTTAAGCGTAGAAAACGCAAATTTCGTTAACAAATTTAATCAAATGTCAACAAAAAATCTTAAATTGTCATTATATCCACACCCTACTCCGGATGGTCACCAAAATTGGATAATTTTTTCATTTCACTGTAAAAAACTAATTCTGCATAGTGTCATTTTTATCCCTCTAAAGCTGGAACGTAAGCAATTTAAATGACCCTCAAATTTACACCCTAACATGGATCGTCCCCTACATATAATAATATCTTCCTTGTAACTTGGGTTAAACTTTCCCGAAAGTTTTATTCGGATCTATTTATATAATTTTTATGATTTTTATATACAATTTTATTTCATGCTTTTATTATATTCAACTATTTTATAGAAATGAGTGCGTTATTATCCAAAGATACGCTTTAACAAAAAGAATGTAAGCTTTAAAAAAAAAGTGTGTAAGTACATAAAAATGAAAATCCAGAAAAATGGAGAAATATCAATCTGTCTTGATTGTATGAAAATGAATAAAGGTGGTGGAGAAAAAAAAAGTTTTATTCGGATCAGTTGACCCGTTTTTGAAATATCTGGTCTTGGACGTTTTTCTTTAAATGGTCATCATTCACACCCTACCAGGATCATCACAAAAATTTAGTAATTTTTTTACTAGAACTTTACAGACTATTATAGAAAGTTAAATTTACACCAATTGAAAACTTTTTATAGATATTTACTTCTGGGTTCTCAAAAATTTAAATGACCCTCTAATAAACCACTGACTGATTCTATAATACAATACTATCTTCCTTGCAACTTGGTCAATAGATACATTACATGCGCTTAAGGAGCCAGGCAGCTGAGGAAAGAATTGTTTTCCTCTTAAAATTGTGTTTTTTTCGTTAATCAGATTTGATTGTTGTTTAATGCGTCTGTAAAGGTGTCTGTGGTGTTTTTTTAATTCCTGTGTTTTTTTTTTTTTGGTTTTTTGTGTTTTTTTTAAATAGTTTTTTGGAAGTATTGTGACCGTGTTATTTTGAGCTGCTTCCTAGCCCTGGCTTCGTTTAATTAAAAAAAAATACAGGAAGTGACAATAATAGAAACTTTAGCGAAAATAATAGAAAATTTAGCTGTCCACGTGGTAAAGTTGCAGGGTCTCTCGGGAACACATCCTTTTGTACAACAAGTATATTTTTCCAAATCGAATTTACAATTGAACAAATGAAAGACATTCAGAGATTTTGTTTTGGAGGACCCTTCAATAAAAGAACAGTTCTTGGATTCGTTAAGAAATTTAACTTATTTGAAGTTCACCTAACGATTGGTGTTTTCAAGAATTAGAGGATCCAAATCTTCATTTGACAATCGCACAATAATCTAACATAGTTGTCTAGACGACCAATAATTTTCTGTATTGTTTTTGACGTTTCTTTGTGTACTATACATTTCTTGCTCTGACATTCGCCATTGTGAACAGCCATGCGAAGGTCTAAATCCGAGCCTGCTCTATCACGATGATTTCTAGGCAAGAATAAGTTTTAGTTTTCCCAGCAAGCAGCTGGGAAACACTCAAATCCCTTAAAAACTTATATAAATACAGCTGAAAGTCGTGACTTGGTACGACAAATTAAAGGCAGTCCTTAGTTGGAAACGGATAATTCTAAAAAACGATTTATATAATATTTTATGCAAATTTAATTTAAGCTGAAATAGAACGTCAGTTTTCATGTGAGAAATTGCATCAAGGAGGTATAGATGTATTAACCTCCTTGATTGCACATCAGTAGATCAAAACATTGATGAATTTATATCCCCCCCCCCCCCCTCTGGTGCTTCTCACCTCCCATTAATTACCCCACATTGCTAAATTCTAGATCCGCCACTGGTCTTCCACGTACTGTAAAGGTAAAGGTAGTTTCATATTCATTACTGAACGTAGGGGAATGAGCTGTGATACCATTGTACTAAGCCTCGGTATTGTGTGGTAGGGTCGCCGTTCCACGCCGCCTTTTTTCCTCCCTAGTAGTAAACCACCGGGTACCCATTTATACTTTTGGGTAGAAAGATACAAATGTAGATAAAGTGCCTTGTCCAATGTTAGAGTTGGCCCAAGTGAATTTGGGGGAATGTAATATGATTGCTTGATTAATATGATTGGTTCCAATGGGTAGTTTTATCGGAAAATAAGAAAATATAAAAACCGTCCAATCCACGATTGACTCCAATAGGGTAAAAAAATATCTCAAGCGTGACTGTCTGATTTACTGGTATGACGTCATACTTCTGTTTGCTTAGCTTGTGTTCGCAGTGTTTGACTTCTTTCTTAGTGTAATTTGGCCGAATTTATTTATCAGTTCGAATTCTTATATGCTTTTAAAAACAAATTTTCTGAGAAAAGATACTCTTAAGGCTATATATTTCTGCAAAAACTGCAATTTATAATGTGGACCGTTTGAATATTCCTGCCAACAGAAGAGCGTAGACTAGGGGAAGAGAGATCTCAGAGCATTTTTTCACTATACACTTTACTACGTGTATTGTTAAGTATGTGGTCAAATAATAATTTTAACAAAAGATCTTTTAAAGAAAGAATATTTACTGTGCAATTTGAATTTTGTTAGTATTTTAACCCCATAATGAAAATAGAACAACCCAGGTTTTTTAATTGGTGGATCCTAACTACCTGCAAAGCAGGGTTGATTTTACCTCTGTTCACTACTTTCATGATAGCTGAACTAGCAAAATCAGGGTTGATTTTACCTCAGTTCACTGCTTTCATGATAGCTGAACTAGCAATGATAAAAAAGTGGCAAAAATTTTCCATAATATGGAAAGTTTTATGCCCCACTAAAATAATAGATGATGGTTGGGCGTAGCTTCAAATCTCTTCAAATTGTTCCAGAGGGAGAAGCCCCTAAAAATATGACAATTTAGGATTTTCAAAGGTTTATTTGATCGATTTTGGAAAATATAAATATGTAAAAACACATATACATTTTTTTTACAGACAAAATATTAAATATTGCTTATTCAATTGGCTTCGTGAAAACTACTTAAGTAAAATAGGTCGACTATAATGGTATAGTCATGATAATACATACCACCAGTGATAGTGTAGATGTTATGATTATTACAGCATTTTTCCTGACCTCTGCAAATAATAACAACACAGAACAGCACTAAAAAACATGCATTAAAACGCATCGTTTCGAATCCTTATCAATCGAATCCTCTCCTGTAGATAAAGTGGATATCAATATCTGGATTAGTGTATCTGCTGAGATGGAGCGAGTAAATTTATACACGGTATTACCGGCCAGAAACTACAAATATCACACCTCACTGAGCAATTTCAACGTTATGATTGAAGAAGCTGCTTATAAATTCTGTTTACACATGTCACGCCAAACTCCTATTTATTATTACAATAAAATTCAAGGAATCCAATTGATCATAGACCTATTTAAACTACCTTAAAATCTTCATTGTGGTAATAAAATATTATAGGATAATAAATAAATAAGAAAGCATCCTGGAATAATTTACAAGTATTTAATTAGGAAAATTTGAAAATTATTATACATGCATTATTACATGC